AGTGTGGGGAGCTAGAGGTGATATACAGGTGAGTTCTTTTTCAGACTTAATGCCTACAAACTCAGACTTGAAAATGGATCAATTAAAAGGTAGTTATTTGCATAACAAAGTTTTCTTTTCATTTCATAAGGGTTTCACCGCAGGGCTCCTTTGTAGAGAGAGTCTCTATAATGCATGCTAATACGATTCCATTTACAAATACTCTATTCGGAATAACTTTCTAAGAACCTTCCTATTGTGTACTCTGGGAATTAGCTGTCATCACCCCCCCTGCCCCCCAGCAACCTAAGGTTTCCTGCTTCTGGAAAGTAACTGAGCTGACCTTTGAGTGTCTCCAAGAGGGGCTTTACCTGCTTGCACTGAGTCTTAGACAGGGAGTCCCAGCCTTTAGAAGGCTGAGGCAGGAGCATTGCTTGAGCCCAGGTGTTCCAGGTCAGTCTGATCAAGATAGCAAGACTTCATTGACCCTATCTCAACATAATACAGCAACAACACTGTAAAGGCCGTGGCCTCCAAGTGTCTGCATTATGTAGCATTAGGGGTTTAATTTTACAATTTTTCTAGCTTTTTTTTTTTTGTACCCGAGCCCCAAGTTCACAATGGTAAACTTTTCACTGTTCTCTTTTTCCCCATAAATAAAGAAAAATTACATTTGTGGCTAATGTTCTGATAAATGTGTGATCAGCAGTGTTCATAAAAGCAATCTCTCTCTCTCTCTCTCTCTCTCTCTCTCTCTCTCTCTCTCTCTCTCTCTCTCTCTCTCATTGGGAGACATGACGCTGTCTGAATTACAACACACACTGGACCAGGCATTCGGATTAGAGCTGTCCCCAGCAAAATAGGAAGCGGTGTGGCTGATTCAATTTAGGAGCCGGCTTCCTCTTTTGTTGGGTCCTGAGCCTGAGCCTCACTTAGCTTTGTGCTGTTATGCAATTGCTCCTTTTAAAAGATACATAAAATGGAAGCCTTGGCTATTCATAGCCAACTTAGGAGGAGCTGAAATTGTTCAAGAAGTTTCTTGCCTGCTGCCATTTTGATGATAACTAGTTTTCTGAACAAACCTATTTCAACCGGCTTCTAAATGGAGTTAGTTGTGCTAGAGAACTGCCTCGTGCCTTTGGTTTTCATCTTGTGGCGCTGATGTCTTAAAAGTAGACAAACGTTCCTTGTATATAGCTTGACTATTTTCCAGGGTGGTTTTTTTCCCCCCTAGTAAAAGCAGCTTACAAGGAAATTCAAGGGCAGAGAAGATCAGCCCAGGCATTCCTGTGTGGCGTCACCCTGTGGTGAGGCTGATCTGTGTCTCAGGGCTGCTAATGGATTATGCGTGAGAGAGCCGCAAAGGGCCTGTGGGAAGCAGGCTGGCTTTAGAGCCCCACAAATGGCGTCGTCTGTGGGGTGCGGCTTGGGGGGAGGCTGCTGGAGGCGGCTGGCTGCCCCTGGAGGCTGCAGCTTCTCATGCTGTGTGGCAGGTGGCATTTCAGGCATTTCTAAAGCCAGTCCCTGGCAGGGATAGCACATCGAGTCCATCTGTGGGGATGGAGGAGTCTGGAGAGGGGTCTCTCTCTTTCTCTCTCCCAGAGGTCAGGAGCACTGAAATCACAAGTAACAGCGTGAAGGCATTTTTGAATCCAGGTTGTGGTCTCCTCACCCCCTTCCCTTCCTACCCTACCCAATTTTTAATCTCCATCATATATATAAATTTGTTTCCCAGATGTAAAATGTAGTGGTGACAGGTGCAGATTATTAAACAAAAGTAAATAAATAAAAGCAAATCAATATTTACTGAATAAACTATATTGATAGTTCAATTTTCTTCCTTCCCTACTGGTCCCCTGTTAAACTTTTCCAAACCAACACTAATGAATATAGAAGAGCCGTGATCTAAATGTGTCTGAAGATGACATATTACTGTTCTCTTCTTCAAGAGGGATGAGAGGGGGTGCGGAGCCCCTTGACCTCAACCAAAGGGCCCCCCTCCCCACCTTGAACGTCTCCCTCCACCAAAGAGCAGCCAAACAGATTTTATTCCACAAATGGGAAAGGAAGTGGCTCTCCCGAGGAGCGGGCTTGTTTAATTGGGTTTTCAGAGCCAGAATTAATATTACAAGCTGGGGAGCCGTGTGGTGTGCTTGTACCTCTGGCTCCACCAGGCTGCCAGCCTTCCCTGGGGGAAGACAGAAAAGTGACACTATTCAGTAGCAATTTTCCTTCTGTCTGGGCCTTCCCACCCAAGTGATTTACAGCTGTCAGAAACCAAGCACTCAGGCTTGATCTTGGCAAGCTCAAGGTCACACCTAGAGCAAGCTTTCCTCACCTCTAATCTACGTGACTTTCTAATATATTTAGTATTTGCCTCCCCTTATATTCATTCTGCTTATTAAGATAAATTTGCTTGGAAATGGGATCATGGTTTTCAGGACCATTAACCCGACACCTGATCTCTTGAGGTGACCAGTGTCTACTGTGGATACCATGAGGGTGACCCATAAAAGTCCCATCCCCCTGCAAACCAGAGGCAAGGCTTTTAATTTGGAAAGGTTTGAGAAGTAAGGTAATGGGGTGAATCAATTCAGCCAAACGCATTTAGTCTTAAGGAAGAAGGGCAGAGTACTGCTCCCTGCTCAGTGGGTTGACCTAGGCCACCAACGTGTTAATTAGCCTCCAACGGACAGATCCTGAAGAAAGCTTACGAAAAGGAATGTATCTGTGTTGCCGCTGTGCGGGGACAAGTCGTGACTGGGGGGAGAGCACAGAGAGTCAAGGGTGGCATTTTATTTGGCTCCTGAGTGATGCTTCCATCGCTATCCACCTTTGAAGACCGGCAATAGTCATCTCACAAACCGCCTTCAGGAAACAAAACCGACCTCGGAAGTCAGCGTCCTGAACCCCCTCCCTGTCACCCTGCCACAGTCGGCTCTAATCCGCCAAGGGCTCCCTGCTGCACCCTGCCACCTGCCGCCACCTTCCTGATGTCCCCAGACCTTGTTGAGAGGGATGAGGAGTTTCTGAGGAAACTATTTGCAGCCCCAGTTTCCTGATCACCGAGAGCCCACTGGGTGTGAGGGTTAACTTATTAACTCCCCCAAAGGGCTTGAGAATTAGTGAAATTTTGTAAAGCATAAATGCCAAACCACAGCTTTCCAGACAGCTGCCCCGACAGTAAGCTGTCTTAGCGGAGGATCAGAGAATGTGACAGTCCTGCTGATTAAGTGCCACAGTCAGTGAGAATAGTTTGTAGGAGACAGGCGACATTGTCTTTTTTTTCTACTTCAGGCTGCCTCAGCTGGGGAGGGATTTGTCCTATAACATTAGGATTATCGTTATCTTGCTGCAGGATGCCATGTAGCCCAGGCTGGCCTCCTAGTCACTATGTAGCCAAGGCTGACCTTGAACTTCTCATCCTCTGGCCTCTACCTCCTGAGTGCTGGGATTACAGGAGTGTACTGCCATGGCTGGTTTATGTGGCACTGGGGATCAAATTTCTTATACATGCTAGACAAGTACTCCATCAAGAGAACCACCTCTCAGCCAATAAAATTACTTTAAAACATACTCGTGGGGCTGAAGAGATGGCTCAATGGTTAAGAGCACTGACTGCTCTTCCAGAGGTCCTGAGTTCAATTCCCAGCACCCACGTGGCAGTTTATAACTATCTGTAACTCCTATTCCAGGGGATCCAACACCCTCACAAGGACATACATGCAGGCAAAACACCAATGCACATAAAATAAGAATAAATAAATTATTTAAAAACACAAGCACTCTTGGGGCTGGAGAGATGGCTCAGTAGTTAAGAGTAAAAACATAAATATGCAGCCGTGAGATGGTAGCGCACACCTTTATTCCCAGCACTCAGGAGGCAGAGCCAAGCAGATCCCTGTGAGTTCCAGGCCAGCTTGGGCTACAGAGTGAGTTCCAGGACAGGCTCCAAAGCTACACAGAGAAACCCTGTCTCAAAACCGCCCCCCCTCCAAAAAAAAAAACAAAACCATAAATACTCTTTAGCTGTATTGTGTATAGTATTTGCAGCTATTATTTAACTGCATTTTACAACTTGATCCACTGAATATTAAGATTTTTCATTCTAAAGATGAGGGGATAGATTCCCAGAGGTTTAGTTACTTGGCCAAGATCATACTCACGAACACACACACACACACACACACACACACACACACACACACACACACACACACCACTAGTATTCCACTCTGTTCTTTGTGACATTACCACCAGCTCCTTCAATTTTTTTTTTTTAATATATAAAATGTCGGATATAGGTGGACATAGTGATCAGCACATGGGTGTTACTGGGAGGAAAGTTAATTCGATTCAGAAATATCAAAATGGAAATTTCTGAAATGTTCTTGGGTTACATCATGATGTTAAGATAAGCTATCGGACAGACTGAGTTTCCCGGCTCAAAAACCGAAATGCGTCCTGCCGTCAAACTGGGCAGAAGGACGCTGAGTTCCCCATCGGCCAATACTGTCTAATTCTCTTAAATGATTCAGATGTAAAAGGGAAAATGGCATCTGTCTAATTAACACCCGCCTGGTTAAATATAGCAGCCAAGGGACAGTGTTGACTGAGCCGTCTTTGCAGCCCCCTGGGCCTCAACTTCCAGTTGATAGCAAGCCTTCTGTCCTTATCAGCGAGAAACAGAGATGCCCCCCAGAAGCGGCAGCCGGCCACAGCAGGCCAAGGGAGCTGGAGGGAGAGGGGCTGGGCTGTCTCTGGCTGGAGTTCCCACTCCTGGTGTCTAGAGGTTCAGAGGATGACTCTGGGAACCAGATCTGGAAGGCTGCAGCAGCTCTTGTCGCAGACATGAGCTCTGGCCCTGCACAGCCCTCTCGGCTGCCTGAGCCTAGCTCTCCAGCCTGCAGACACGCACTGGGCCACCCTCCTGCCCACCGCTGAGCCTGCCAGGTAGGACCATCTGCTCTGCATCCCGTCCCTGGTGGAAAGGCACAATGACCCCACTGTTTCTCTTCCAGCTTCTCGTCAAGACATGGAAGCCGTCGCCAAGTTTGATTTCGTGGCCTCGGGTGAAGACGAACTGAGCTTTCACACTGGAGATGTTCTGAAGGTAGGTGATGTGGGGTCCCAGGGGAATGGTGAGGGGCTGAGGTTCCCTGAGCCTGGCCACTGAGGCCACCTAACAACCTATGCCTTTGTCTCTGAAAGAATGCGCACAGTTCTTTTTCTTCTTTTACTCCTAGTGTTGTGTTTAAAAGAGTGATTCAAAACCAGATGTGAGACATAGAGTGATTCAAAACCAGATGTGAGAGCATGTCTCTAACCCTAGCACTCAGGAGGTGGAGGCAGAAGGATCAGGAGTTCGAGGCCAGCTTTGGCTACCTTGTGAGTTCGAGATCAGTCTGGGCTACATGAGACCCTATCTCAAAAACAAAAACAAAACGGAGATGGGGGGGTGGGAAGAAGAGGAAGAGGAAGTCTCAAAGTTTCTGTCTAGGGTCACCTCCTGACCACCCACGTGTAGACAAAGCTTTTTAGCCAATGCCAAGCCTTACCCCATTAGTACTGCCTGGAAGACACACAGAGGAGCAAGGGAGACGTGTGTAGGACCTTTGCTATAGAGGACACAGGTCTTATGTCCTTCATCACGATAGCATCCCAGATTCCTGTTGGTAAACAGAGAAGTCATTGTGTATATGTTCATGTGTGTATGTATGCAGGTGTACATGCATCTATGTACATGTGCACATGTATATGCATGCCCGTGTACATGTGTACATATAAGTGTAGAATCCAGGAGTTGACAGCAGGTGTCTTTTTCCTTTGCTCGCCACCTTTTTATTTTTCCCCCGTTTTTTTCAAGACAGGGTTTCTCTGTGTAATTTTGGTGGCTGTCCTGGACCTCGCTCTCTAGACCAGGCTGGCCTTGACCTCACAGAGATCCACCTGCCTCTGCCTCCCAAGTGCTGGGATTAAAGGTGTGCGCCACCACCGCCTGGCTTCCACATTAATTTTTTTTAAAGATTTATTTATTTATTATGTAGAAGAGGGTGCCAGATCTCATGTGGGTACTGGGAGTTGAACTCAGGACCTCTGGAAGAGCGGTCGGTGCTCTTAACCTCTAAGCCATCTCTCCAGCCCCGCACCTTAATTTTTTGAAGCAGGATGTCTCACTGAACCTGGAGCTCACTGACCAGGCTTAGGCAGGCTGATGGGGGAGTTCCAGGGACCCCCCTGTCACTACCTCCCCTGTGCTGGGATTGTGGACACACACATCTGCACCCAGATTTTTTGGTGGGTCCTCGAGATCTGAACTTGGGACCTTATGCTTGCGTGGTGGGCTATTTGCTGCCTGAACCCTCTTCCAGCCCCAGAGCAGCCATTCTTAAGAAGCCTTGCTTTGAGCACAGCCCGATGCAGTTTCATAAAAAGACAAGTCCACATCCCCACCAAGCATTCCTTCTGGGCACCCATGTGCTAGACACCGGGTTAGGTAACATAAGTCACCCTCTTCCCCCCCCCCCTGCCATGCCTGTGGTGTGGAGCGGGCAACACCAGCCTCTGCTGGGCTGTCATAGATGCTGTCAGCTCAGTGCTCAGGAACCCGGGTGGGACACATGAGATTCTACCTTGAAGTAGTGTGGAAGAACGGAAGTATGAACGTCAGGAGCTGTCAAACCCACAGACGTGCAAGGCCAGGCTCCACATGCAAAGGGTGCAGGTGGAGGCAGCCAGGGAGGGACAGCAGACCTGAGGTGCCTCAACAGAGGCCACGCACACCCAGACACTAAGAGGCTCCTTAAAAGTTGTTTACAAGCCCTGCTTGAGCTGTGGCGGCCACTTGCAGAGCAGAAGTGGCCTTGGGCTTCTTCCGCATTTCAGGTGTCCATCAGCATACTCCCTTGTGATTCACAAAAGAATGCAAGCCTGTCCACAGGTTATTCAGGAGCCTGAGGTGGCCATGGGCCCCTGTCTGACCTCAGGGCACCCTCCAAGAGCATCCCTCAGCTCTTGTCCTCAGCTGCCCAGGTGGCCCTCTCACGTGTCTGCCCGTCACGGAGTCCACTGCTGTATCTTGCAACACAGAGAATTATGGGCAATACAAAGGCCCTTGTGGGGCGGGGGGCGGGGTGTTAGAGGACAACTTGGGAAGGGTCCACAGAGCACCTGCCTGTAGAATAAAATGGCTTCATTTGTCACTTAAGCCCCCCACCCCCGCACCCAGGGGGTGCACCTTCTAACTGCTTTCAGCTTGAAAGATCTAGCGATGTGGTTGACCCCACAGTGTCTCAAGTTTGACCTTTTATAAGCCAAACTATGTCTAGGCTGTGGGAGCCCGTTCTGGGGTTCCTCGTGGCTTTACCCAGCAGGTCCGAATAGAGGATGATCAGGACCACGGGCCTGAGTGCAGGTGTCTGAGATGGCCTGCACTTGGCTGTGCTGGGGGAGGAGGTCTTTTGCTCCACCCCTTGGCGTCTCTATAAAAACCCTGGACCAGAGACAGTCCGGGCCCGTTGGAATAGGTTCCAGGCCCTCTCGAGGCTATCCTTTATTTTCTATCTGTTTATCTCCGCAACATTCTCCACTATAAATCCTTCTATCTAATATTTCCTGCTGCTCGCACTCAAGAAAACTCTGGGAAGCTGTGGGGGTGGTGGGTAAACGCCCCACACTAGGCTACTGAGGAAAAGGTGGCTTTCACTAGAGTCACGGAGACACTGGTCATGTGATGAAAAGTCCCTCCCTCCCTCCTCTGTGGGGCATTGTGACCGTTCAGATGCCGGCCACGTTGGAGCGCCCACTGCTCCCGCTAGCTCCTGTCCTTATGTTGATCACACACAGAACTCAAGGCCTTGCTCAAGCTCTCGTTCTCTTCTGTTACACACAGGAGTGGAAGGGAAAAAAAACAAAAAACAAAAAACCGAGCAACGGAACGTTCCCTGGGCCCTGCTTCCCAGCCTGACTCCTTATCGATTCCCTCTCCTCTGTTGCTCAGATGGAAACAGTTCTCTGCACTGCATGCCCTCCACTTCCTCTCTTGGCTCCAAAGGAAGTCAGCCCTTTACTTCCGTGTCCTGGTTAGCTTCCTGTTGCTGTCATAAACACCACGACCAAAAGCAACTTGGGGAGGAAAGGGTTTCTTTGGCTGACACTTCCAGATCAAAGTCCATCACTGAGGGAAACCAGGGCCACAGCTCCAGGCAGGAACTGAGACAGAGACCATGGAGGAATGCTGCTTTCGGATTCATGGCTTACTCAGCTACCTTTGTTATATAACCCACCTGCCCAGGGATGGCACCGCCCACAGTGGGCTGGATCCCCTACACACACACACACACACACACACACACACACACACACACACACACACACACACCAATCATTAATCAAGAAAATGCCCCCACAGACTTGCCTATGGGCCAATCTGATGGAGACATTTTCTCAATTTACATTCCCTCTTCCCAGATGACTCCAACTTGTACCAAGTTAACAAAAAAAACTACCCAGCACATGCTGCAACCTCCTTCATGTTACTAGAATGTTCTTCCCAGACTCCTATGGAATGAGACTCTACTGGCTGCCCCTCTCCTGGAGCTCATTCCCTTGCTCAGTCCCACTCCTGTCTCTCTCCCTCCCTCCCTTCTTCCCCCCCTTTTCCTCTCCTGAGTTCTCCTATGGGTCTTGTCTGTGAGCATTCCCATGCTCTCTCTAAACAGATATATTCACCTCCCCGAAGCTCTGCCCTTGGCCTTCTGATTCTCCTTCTTACTTTGAAGTACCTCACCCCCTTTCTCTGGCTCTATGCTAAAGATCCTCCAGTCTGCACCTTGCTCCCTCACTAACCTCTGCCTTGAACCCCAGAACCAGTTATTTGCTAGTTGTTACCCCGTAGACTCCAGCCCCTGACACCGGCTCACACGACCCGCTTTACCCAGCCCACCCCAACTTCCATCCAAGGTAGTCCTCGCCACCACCTGAGCTCCTGTTGCAAGCCAGGACTGGCACAGGGGCTGTGTGTACCCTGGAGCATCTCAGCAAACCCAGGAGGTTGCTTTCTCCACTCTGTAAATGTAAAGCCACATGTCAAGATCACACAGGTAGACAGTGGCTGCGCCCGGGGCCTGGGTGGAGCGCTGTCTCTTCCCTATGCGCTATCTCTGTTCTAAATGCATTTCTTTCTCCAAGTCCCCCAAGGGAGGCTCTTCTCCTTTAGGGGGGACAATGTGGGATGCCGGAAAAAGGAACACAGGTTTTGCAACTACATGAATATGGATTCAATTCCCAGCCTGTGAGCTGTATGGCTTGGGCCTAGGCACCTGCTGATTTGGGCATCAGGGTCCGCCTCTGTCTGTGGAGGCATTACCTATCCTGCAGAGTCCAGAAAAGTCATTAAAGGTAATGGCCCTGGTCCAGAGCAGAGACTGAGCAGATGAGGGCCAAATTATCACCAGTGCATGCCTTCCTGCTCTCTCTGCCTGCTGAGAAGATCGCACAGCCCCTTGACTGACCTCACTGCCTCCTGCCTCTTCCTCATTCAATCACCCTACATATGGTCCCAGAAGGACTTTTCTAGAAGACAAATCAGACCATATCATTTCCTTGCTCAAAAGTCTTCAGGGTTCCTATTAACAATTGATTGAAATCTAAACCGTTTGACTCCAACGCACTTTCCAGGCTCATCACGCTCGCACACAGGCACATGTGTGCACACATACACACAGCACACATCTTTGAGGACACACTCTCCCTGCTGCCCCCCCCCCCAGTATCCATCATCCTTTCTCAGGCTCCGCCTCATTCTCCAAGTGTCCTTTTATATATGACCATCTTTCCAGATGGCTTGTCCCAAGCAAAGCCAACCCCTCTTCTGGCCTCAGGCTGTACTTCCAGGGCCGTCTTGCACCACCACCGTTACTTACCACATGTGATCTTAGTTGTCCATTTCCCAGTTAGCTACCCCACTAGCCAAAGTTTTATAGGGATGAGGGCCACACAGCATCTCTAGGAGCAGAAAGTTACTTCTTACTAATGTTTGGTGAGTGAGTGAATGAATGAATGAATGAATGAATGAATGAATGGTGGGTTCTTCCATTGGTGAGCTCCCTGAGA